CTCGTATCTAATATATATCAAGGCAAACAAAAACTAGTACAAAAAATGGACAACGTAAATACTTGTTTTGGTTAAAAAAGGAATTAGTGCAACGGCTACATCCTACGTACATCCTACTACTACATGCTTAGGTAATCAGCGAGGATTCTCCATGCCCAAAGAAACAAAATAATAATCAATCAACCCAAGAAAGGGTCCAGGCGCCTTTGGTGGCGTTCAAAAGACCATCACCGGAGGAAGTCGCCTGCACGTCAGAGCGTGAGCCATAAAACAAGTGGATCCCAATATAGAATCGCCCAGGGTGAGCGCATCAAAGGGTGCCTGCTGTCCCTTTTATATAAAATTTAATAATACGCGGGCGCAAATAAAAAGAGAGATGGGGAGCCGATAGCGACGGCTCCCACACACACAAGACGAGCAAAAGAAACAGCTAGAAGTAGAAGCTGGTGGGCATAAAAAAGAAGTAGACAGCCTGTTCGCTTGTTGGTTTCAACCAGCTCAAATCAGTCAGCCAATAGTATTTTTCTCTCACAATAAACCAGCACCGGCCAGTCTAAACCAGCCCAGAAACCAACCAGCAGCTGGTGCCGGTGAGTGCGTGGTGCCTGCAGCAGCTGGTGCCGGTGAGTGCGTGGTGCCTGCCTGCCTGGCCTTTGCTTTCCGCCTCCCTCCCGCAGTCCCGCGTTATAAAAGCGAGGCAGTGTTGCGAAGCGCGTTTCTTGGTGCGCCTTTCGTCCTTCTCCGTCCGTCAAGGCTCAAGGCTACCTAAGCTAGCGTGTCTCCTGGCCACCGGTGAGTGCCCCCCGGGTCGTGTGCCTCCTGCGCTGGTTGAGAAGAAGCGAGCTGGCGGCGGCGGCGGCGGCGGCTTGGCAGCCCCCCGGTCGGGCGTTGCGGCGCCGTCCATGGCGAGAGCGTCCACCGGCCAGCCAGGATCAATCGTGTTCGTGCCGGTGTGAGGGACTGGCGTGTGGTGTTTGTCCAACAGCAAGGTACGTTGAAGCTGCTTTTGGCCCTCCGTAGTCCGTCGTGTCTTCGACGTTGGTTGGTGGCCGTGGCACCGCACCACGCCGTGGAGCCGCCGGTGGGCCGGGAGGCAGGCCGCCGCCGGGCGCTCAGCTCTGCCTTGCCTTGCGCCATCCATCGATCTCCGCGCCACCTTGACGGCGTGCTGGCTTGCCGTTCTGCATCCACAAGACGGCGAAGGGAACCGGCCGGCCGGAGCAGTACCACGGGTTGGGTCGTCTCGGCCTTCCGTGTCAGGAGAGCACAGCAGCGACACGCAGTGCGAGGCCGGCTGCCGGTGACCTCATCACCCTCTGCCCGTTCGTCCTCTGGCTTTCTGGCTTTCCTTACAAAAAAAATAAAGTGAAAGAAAAAACAGGGCTTCTGGCTTCTGCGCCGTGCATGTTCTTGTGGCTTCCGTCCGTCCTCTGGCACTGGCAGTTCAGTTCCACCCCCTGTACTCTCTGCACTACTCCTACTCCACGCCGTGCATACTCTCTCTTGCAATTTCCCCCCTTTTCTCTCTGTTTCTGATACTCCCTGTTGTGCTAATCTACTTTTCAGCCGGCCCCTGTACTGTGCGTTGCCGTCTCTCTCAGGGTGCGTTTAGATCCAAATTTTTTTTTTGTTTTGGCTACTGTAGTATCTTCGTTTGTATTTGATAATTAATATTTAATTATGAACTAATTATGTTCGAAAGTTTTACGATTTCTTGTTTAACTGTGTAATTAGTTTTTTTTCATCTACCTATAATATTCTATTTGATGTGACGAGTAACGCGCAAAAATTTTTGGCAACGAAACTGGCGCTCACTCATTCATTCACGTTGTGCTGAAAAAGAGGAAATTGACCGTGACAACACCTACTACCCTGCAGTCACGATCGCTCCACAGTCGATAGTCGACGCCATAGAAAATCTTACGACAAAATTGAACAGGGACGATTCCGCGAATAAAATAACGTCTTTTCCCAAGCAAGCAGTTACACGCATGTGCCTTGTGATGAACTGATGACACTAGCAGCAGTATAATACTGTACTCCATAATAATGAACTGATGACAACCGATAAATAAATACTCAAAATTACAGCGCCAGTTTAACTACCCTGACGTGAGCTCAGCCGATCCGGCGATCAACGGAGTCCGCATCCGTACCCTGGATTTATTTATCACATCCAGCCAAAAAAAAAAGATTTCCAGGGTGGGCCTTTTGGTACTCGCACGTCGCACATTCGCACGGCCCCGCGCGCCACCCGCACCGGCCGGTGCCCGATCGCCCTCCCCCGCTTCACCTTTTGCACGCCCGCCCGCCCGCCCGTACGCTGGTGCCACAGCTCGTCCCGGTGAGCCAGCGATCCGCAGAGGATCCGGCCGGGGACCCGCAAGGCCTACGACCACGTGCCCCCTTGTCAAGATCCGGTGCTCACGTGAGTGGCGTGTGGTCCCGTGCCCGCCCCCACCACCCCCTGCCCCACACGCTTTTCCCACCGCCGAACGAACCCGGCCCCACCGGCTGGAAGAAAACAGCAAGGGATTGACACGAGGGCCGGGCCCCGCGTGTCACTGGCCCCCCGCCAACAGGGAAAGGCGCCCGGGCGCGAGACGAGCCCGGCTTTTCCTTGCTCTCCTTTTCCATAATCCGTCCTCCGCGCCGTGGAGCCGCCTAGAGAAAAAAAAACAAACCATGAGAAATAATAAAAAAATCCGGCTTATCCTCTGGGAGGGCCCACCACATCCGCACCGCACACCCTCTTTTTGGCGGTGGTGGTGGCGGTGCACGACAGCCCATGGTGGACCGCGCCCACGCGTGCCCCGTCACGCGGGGCCCAGGGACCTCTGTTAACTCACAGTCACAGCTTATGGCCCTGCTTGGTAGGACTTCACTTTAGTAGTGAAGCTATTTTTTTTTTTTGACTTCAGCTTCACGAACAGTTCCACTGGTGGAGCTGAAGCGGTTTTGGTAAACCGTTTAGTAAAATGGCTTTCCTGTGAGAGCAGTTTTTAGGGGCCTAGAAGAAGAGTTAGGAGAAGCCACTTTTTTTTTTTGGCTCCATCCCATCCAAATCACTGTGAAAGCATGTTTTTAGAAGCTTCGTAAGTGAAGCTATTTTATTTTATCCCATTTAATAGAAAACGGTTTCAAACTACTCCTACGAAGCCCCGCCAAACGGGCCTAAGCTAACCGCGCGATTACCAGCTGCTGTCAGCTGCTGCGAGCAGTGCAGTGCGATCCATCCAGCTCGAGCGGCCGGGCCCACCGGGTCGTATCTGGAGCCCCGGATCTGGCGGGGCGCTGCCGCCAGGCCCGGCGCTGTGAATTTTGACCCGTCTCCTCCCTACCTGGCTACCAAAAGCAGGCGTGCCGGCGTTGATGGGCTGCCATGCCGTGCGCTCGCTTGCCTTTATTGGCGATGCCGGGGGAGGGAGACCGGCATCCACACGTGTTCATATCGGCCCAGCGAGGAACCCGTGGCCGTGGGGGGAAGAAGACCGCAAGGGGAACCCGCGGTTAAAAGAGAGCGCGGTGCGGCTATTAACACCAATTTATTTATTTACGGGAAATTACTGCCATTACTCATCGGCGTGAAAAACAATTTGATCCCTTTATCTTTTTTTATTATTAATTAATTATCGGATCAGAAGCTAGTGGTCCATCCGGATTGAGATTTCGCCGCGTGAATGAACGAGTAACTTTTACTCCATCCTTGTCACTGTTTACTACTTGACATTAATCGTGAGTATTGAAATGGTGACGTCTTCACGATCTCTTTCCTGGCGGACAAGTACGTATCGCAAGTTCGCAACTGGACTACTCCACGTACCACTACTCTACAAAATTGACCGGTCTTGCTAATTAAAACAAAAAAATTTGCAAGGGTAAATAAATACGCGCTCCATATTTTATTCGGGGTAGGCGAGTGGAGCGGTGAAGGTTGGTGGCTAGTGTGCTCTCCGCGTGACGTCAGCCGCGCTGCCACGCGGCGCCCACGAGCAGAACAATAAACAAAAGCGGGGCAAGGACGCGGGTCCCGCTCTCCGTCCCTCGGCCCCACCGCCACTGCCTGCCTAAAGACTTTCCTTCGCTTTTAACCCACCACCCCCGCAGCAACCGGTGCGAGGGCGCGCCACGTCAGCATCGTGGGGGTAAAACAGCCGCGCAGTGTCCAGATCAGGTCCATTCCGCGCGAGTGGGCCCCGCCAAAAGCGGACAACCCATCTATTTAAAATCATTTTCCTCATTACCTACCTGGTTAATAATTTTTTTATAATATATATATATATAATTGAATTAATTGGCTAATGGCGCCTTCTGCCTCGGCCCGTCCCCCACCCACCTCCTACTGCCGGTGGACGCTTAGATTTTTCCCGGCCATCCGAAACCGCCACGTGTCGGTTGCCGCCCATGCTTGAGCCGTAAGGAAGGGGCAGAGGAAGCGAGGGGGAGATTTTATTGCGCGTCGGGGGTGGGCCTGTCAGGATCCGACGGTGGCGGGGGGCGCCACGGTGGCGCCGCGACTCTGGGGCCGTCGGATGCGGGATCGCTGGGAGCGCGGATCTGGGCCGTCCGATCCGGGCGTGCGCAGCGACAAAAAGAAGATGGGGTGAGGCGGGCGCCTAGAAAGGGAACCCGACGGGGAGGGAAGCGGCCAGACGACGCCCAGAGCCCCAGACCAAGAGAGAGAAGGGGGCAGCGGCACGCAGCCGGAAAGAGAGGCAGGCGTGGTGGAGAAGGCCAGGGCGGAGCCTTGCACCGCAGAGGAGAAGAGAAGCGAGGGGAGCGCCAAGTAGTAGTAGAAGAGCAGAGAGAGGGAGGGAGGAAGAGCGACGAGAGCCGAGGAGCTCTCCTCCGCCCGCCTAATCCTTGGCCGCGGCTGCTAGATTCGCGAGGATTACCGAGGCGCTGCTCGCCGGATCTACGGGGCGGCGGCTGTGCTCGTCGGAATCCGGCGAGGCGGAGGTGATTTGCCGGGGATCGGCGCCGCATGTCTCAGATCTGAGATGGACAGGATCCGGGACGGCAGGAGAGGCGGCGTGTCCGTCGGAGGCGGGCCGCCGCCTCCGAGGAGGCGCCTCAGGAGCAACGGCGGCGGCGGCGGCGGGGGCCCCAGGGACTCGCCGCGCTCCGAGCGGCGGCGTGGCGAGCGCCTCATGCTTAACGGCGGGGGCGGCGGCGCCAGCCGGGACGACGGCGACGACACCTCCGACGAGAGCCTCGCCGACGACGACGACGACGCCGAGGAGGAGCTCGCGCCGCGGTACCAACAGCAGCGGCGGTCACCGAGCACGGCGCCGCCGCCGCCCTCGCCGCCGCAGCCCGCCGGTGGCCACCACCACAGCAGTAGTAGCAGCGGCGGCGGTGGTGGAGGTTACCACAACCACCACCACGGCCAGCAGCACCAGATGCAGCGGAAGGGCGGCGGCTCCAATCCGAAGAGCCCCATCGTGGTCAAGGCCGTAGACGAAATGATCGGCGTGCCTGTCCCGCGGAAAGCTCGCTCCGGTAGGCGCTCGTACCATCGTCAAAGAGCGGATTTTTGGGCCTCCCCGGCGGTTTCATCCGCATGGCTGACGATAACCTTGCTTCTGCTTTTGCGCTCTTGGCAGCTTCAACGAAACGCTCTTCCCACGAGTGGCCTGTCCCCGGCGGTGGAACCAGTGGAGGCAGCGCCGGCGCAGGAGACGGCTCGCAGATCCAACGGCCTTCGTCACGGCCGATCTCTCCGGCGTCGGCCTCAACTACCGCCCCTGCTCGGAAGAAGCTTGTGCGTTTCTGAGCCCTCCGGTCCTCATCTCCCTTCTATATTTCCTCAGTTCTCGCTCGTGTTTGCTAATTTTCTCTCTTTGGCTTTGCCTCTCAGAAACCACTTGGCGGTGGGAGCAGCGGTGGTCCAGGGCCAGCGCCGAAGCAGCGACCATCGCCGTCCCCAGCGCCTTCAACAACCCCGCCACAACTGCCGCCGCCGAAGATTTCGAAGTCGCCATCTTTCATCCAAGAGGAAATCGAGGTTGCCGAGGTGCTGTTCGGGCTCACCAGGCAGTTCCCGTGCCCTCCCCCCAAGCAGGAGAGCAACCACAAGCTCGAGCCCAGAGATGCGCCAGAGGCCAAGTCCGGGAACTCTTCGCCAGCCCCCTCGTCTTCTGGCGCCCGACCGTCAGATTCCACCTCCCTTTCCACTATAGGTGCGTAGCTTTTTCCGTTGGGAAAAAATTGCAAAAATGACACTCGAAAGATTGACTCCATGATGACACTCGGGTGGATGACAAGTGGGTTTATAAACGTGGATCCAGTGTCAAATCTACACACGACCCCATTTTTGCAGTGGTTTTGCCTTCGTTTTCCACTCCCTGTTTTGCCAATTTTGTTTTTTCGGATCTAATCGGCTCCCCCGCTGGATGTTGCAGCGCCAAAGAGGAAGAGGCCACGGCTGGTAAAGTACGACGAAGATAGCCGCCCGGCGAGCCCAGCGAAGCCAGAGTTGGCGGAGCCGTCCTCAAAGCCGGAGCCACCTCCTGTGGCTAGATCAGAAGCAAAGACGGCAACGTCGGTAGCAGCAGAAAGTGGCACCAGCACCGCCCCTGCGGCCGCCGCCCAACATGAGACTTCACGAGAGCCAGAGAAGACGGAGGATCGTGGTAGAAACAGAGACTCGGAGCTACGGCCAAGCGAATCAGATCGGCGAGATCACAGGCTGGAGAGCCAAGCCGAGCCGCCGGCGCCTTCAGTCAAGCCGGATGCTGAAGCAAAGCCGGTGGGCTCCGAGGCGAGGAACGGCGAAGCTACTGCCACGACAAAGATGTGGGCCACTTTGAATTTTATATTATTGATGTCGCGATAGCCATTATTGTTTTTGGATTGTGCCGATCTGATTAGTATATTCACAATTTGTGTGAACGATCTTTTTTTTCCCAGTGAGCTGGCATCGGATGGCGCTCGGCAAGACAAGAAGTTCTCCATTGATCTCATGGTGGGTATTTGCTTTCTTGTCTACGTGTGTGTGGTTGAATTGGTCTTGCGGAATTTTGTGGGCAAAGAGTGAAAGCGACAATTTTTGCCGCAATTGCTGCTTGGTGTTTTGTTATCTTTTGGCTTCTTTTTCCGACTTTCTTTTGCTTATCTTTTTATTTTTTTGGTTCCAGGCTCCCCCTCCTGGGAAGCTATCTGATGATATAGATGGCTCCTCCGACCCAGATGCAGATAAGAAGGGATTGGATTCTGAGATGGACATGGTGAGGACTTCGGTTTCACCAATTCTTTTGATTGGCATCATCAGCTGGAGCATTGGATATTGGATTCTGATTGATCTTTTTCTACTTTTCTTTGGGTTTCATTTTAGTTGGGGAGAGGAAATTCTGAAAAGAAGGATGGTGAAAGGACTCGGAGAGGGCTGGATATTGATTTGGAGGACCAGAAGGTCCAAAGAATTCCAGCCGATGAGTTCGTGCCCAAGAAGCTCACGCTGCAGTTGGATTTGGAGAAGCCCAGTCTTCGTGATGAAAAATCACCATCAGAGCGACGGCAGCCGCAGCCTCAGCCACAACAATTGCAGCAGCAGAAGCCCTCAAAGGCTGAGATAAAGCACGAGAAATCTGGTAAGTGTTTTGCTGTGTTTATTTGCATTTGATCCTTGGTTTTGCCATTTAGGGAAGATGTTTGTTTTCATTTTTTTAATCTGGATTTTCTTTTGTTGCAGCTATGCCTGCTGTTACCCCACCTATGCCTATACCTGTTGGAGGCTGGCTTGGGAATTTCCCACCGTTTGGGTGAGTTCCTTTAGCTGCTGGATTCGTAATGTGCACTCCTGTTCAGTGGGTTCGTTTCTGAAGCTGCGATTTTGTGTCTTGGCAGTTACCTTAGTCCAGTCCCAGGCCTATCAGCAGCTGGTCTTCATCATCCCATGGACGTGAAGCCAGGGTCTTCTAGTGGATTACAGGTATGTATTCTTGTCTCAGCAACGCTGTGGTTGTCTGAATTTTGTTCCCCGCCCTGCCCCCCTCTCTTGAAATCTTACAGTCTTCTATATTGCAGCATGCTGCATTGCTTCCACCGCCTACGCGCTCAAAGAGATGTGCTACACATTGCTACATTGCACAATTTATCCAGCACCAGCAGCGAGTTGCAAAGATGAACTCTTTCTGGCCGCCAGCTGCTGCAGCGGCAGCCGCCGCCGCCGCCAATAGATCGGGGCCATTCTTTGGTGCAAGGCCATTCGGCATGGGTGTTGTGCCACCGACGGATGCCGCCTCTATGCTTGTGAACCCAATGCAGGGAAGCTACCCTGTTAGGGCCCACACCCCAATGCAAGAAGCAAAGGCTCCTATGGCTACATCACCATTCCAGGGGAGTCTCTCGAAGGATAAAGCACTAGGCAATGCTGCTGGTGCTGAATCAAGCCAGAGGAAACAACCACCTGCTCATGAAACACAGCAGTCCACTCCCATGCCAAACATGCTGGTACGTGCATGCAGGAAATCTTACTATCCTTTCTTTTTAACTGAAAATTTCTGTTGGATTTTTTCTTACAAGATGTTTCCCCCCTTTAGCAGCAAGCCCCGGCATTTATCTTTCCGTTCAATCAGCAACATGCTATGGTGGCAGCTGCAAATGCTGCCAATCGAGCAGGGGATGCAAAATCATCTGGAGCCAGCAATGCAATGCCGCCATCTGCCAGCGCTCACACTTTGGCAGCAAACTCTGGTGCTGCGGCCATGAACTTGAGCTTTGCCAACTTGCAACCGGCTGATGCCCAGTTCTTGGCCATCTTACAGAATGGATACCCGTTCCAGGTTGCTGCCCATCCTGGAGGGCCTCCATATCGAGGCATGGCACCACCAGGCCCAGCTGTTCCATTCTTCAATGGGCATGTGTACTCCTCTCCTATGCTGCACCCATCACAGCAGCAAGGCGCGCAACCACAAAGTCATCAGAAGACCCAAATGCCAAACTTGGCCAGTTCATCACAGAAGCATCAGCCACAACAGTCCCAAGGGCAATTGGGATATGCACCAAATGCTAATGCAGCAGCAGCTGCTGCTAGTAATTTGCAGAATTATTCAAGTGGCAATCAGCGCCCTGTCCTGCTACCTGGCCTTATGCACCGACAGGAGAGCGACAAAACTGGACAAGATGGTCCGTCGAGTGATGACAAGCCATCTCACTCTCAGAAGAGCGGGTATGAACACAATTTTGCTGTTCCAGTCCATCTACCGAATTTTGCAATGATGACAGCTGCTCAACCTGCTGGCAGTCAGAGTGAGAAGAAGTCAAGTGATCACCATCACCACCATCAGCAGCAGCAGCCACAAGTCAGTCGAGGCCAGGGTGTGAGGATTGATCTTGCGTCTTCTCAACCTTTTGTGATGCCCTTTGGCTCCATTGGTCCTCCTGGATCTACCCCAACTGGTCTTGACTTTTCAGCATTGGCGCAGAACCATGCAGTTTTCCAGAGCCATCAAGAAGCAGCACGGCATGGTTATCCTCAACTTAATTTTGCTGCAGCTCAATCTATGCAATCCACGCAGCACAAGCCCCAGCATGGAGAAACAAAATCTGTTGCTGGGGATTCATCGTCAACACCCATTGCTGGAGACAGTGAGAGAAAGAAATCAACTTCTTCAAAGTATCCCGGTGATTCACAGCAGCATTCGCTGTCCTTCACCAGGACTGAAAGCAAGAATTATGTGCCTCCTTTCCTTAGTGGCAGTACAAATGAAAGTTCGTCCCGCACCCTGAGCCTTATTGGAACAGAATCTTCAAATGCATTTATGGGAAGCAAAACCACAAATTCCACCACCCCTTCCTCTACACCAGCTGCAGCTTCATCCAGCATTTCTCAGCAGCAGCAGCAGCAGCAGCACCAACATTTCCTTCAGATGCAAGTGCAACAGAAGCATCAGCAGCATCAGCAGCTGATTCAGCACCACCATATGAATCGGCCCAGATCTGCTGCACCAAGTACACAAAATAGTGCAGGTCGGTACCCGGACGGTCTGAGCATGGCAAGTTTTCAGAATATGATGTACCCATCAAGTGCTGCCCAAGGGGGAGTTCAATCCCCCCAGTTGAAGGCATCCTCAGGGAGAGGGACACCTTCATCTACTGCTACGACCCCCCCTGCTGCTCCACCCCCTAATTTGAGTAGTCTCCACCAGCAACAAGCAAAAGTTCCTATGCAGGCTTTTTCTACTCCCGGTCACCAACCCCAGAGTTCTTTAAGCATGAATTCATCAAAGATAGGGCTTTCTGTAACTAACCTTTCTACTGGAGGAGGGGATCTATCTCGATCTTCGAATGCCCCTGTTGCTTCTGGTTCACCATCCAATTCGGTGTCCAAAAGTACTGGTGGCAGCCCACCTGCCACGGGAAATGCAAAGGGTGTTCAGCAGCCTGTCCAGTTGCCATCACCGCAGCAGCAGTCAGCCAAGAACTCTGCATCGACGTCTGGCACCAAGTCTACTCCTACGAATCATTTCAGTATGGCTATGCCATCTATCCTTGGCCAACAGCCTAATGCATCACCTGGTTCTAATCCGGGGAGCAAACAGCACTCACATATGCCACCATCATCAATGAAACAGCCGCCGTTCCAGCAAGGCCATTTCTTCATATCCAACACTTATGCTCCTCAGGCTCCAGGAGCTGGTGGTGCTGCTGCCCTAGGCCTCTACCAGAAGCGACCAGGCGACAAGACGCAGCAGCAGGCACCACACCAGCAGAACACCTTGTCAGGTTTGTCTTCAATCCCTTCCCACTCCTGTGTTTTCGTTTCAGTTTCCTCTGTTGTGAACCCTGCTGACCTAGGGAACTCTTGCAGCTGCCGCCGGCAATAACATGAAAGTGCTTCATCCTTCATCCGGTGGATTTATGCATCTTGCAGCGGCAACCCAGTCTGCAGGTGGCGTGCCACACACCCACATGTCCGCCGCACAATTGACTTTCGGGACAATGCCAATGCCTTTAAAACCCTCAAGTGACCAGAAGCCTGCTGCTGGTACTTGACTTGCTACCGAATCATTTAAACACAGAGTTCAGTTCTTTTAGCTTACAGAGTAAGTTGCCTTGTTTTTAACAGGAAAATAAACAATCCAGACGACCATGCATCGGAGTGGTAATCTGAACTGGTGAGCGGAAGCCCAAATGGCAGCTACACCTCTCCGGTTCTTTAGAAGAGAAGCAATCACAGCAACAGCGGCAGCTCGAAGAACCCGCTTGGTTGCTGTATTGATCAGGAAGGAAGGGCGCTGTGCACCAGTTCCATCGGAGCAGAAGCCTTGCTAACCTAAAAGAGTATTCGGATTTTGGAATGGTTGATGGGAGTGATACTTTTGTGTAGTTGGCTGGTTATCCTCCCATGGGGTTAAAGGCCGGGGGACTGGAGGAGGTGCATAGAATCTCTCTTAGCCCGTTTTTTTATGGATGGATGCCCAAGGCTGGTTTCTCTCTTGTAGCTTTGATATTTCCTTTTTTTTTTTTTTGGTTCTCAGCTTTAACTGGAGGAAGGATTCAATTAGAATGCAGATCAGGTAACTTTGTTATGCAGTTGGTGCTCCCGTTATACACTGTCTGTCGATACACTCTGCTTGGATTGTTTAGCAACTAGAGGAGGTGCAAAATATCTATCCCAAGTAGAATAGGATCCAGCCAATGATTGGTGGGGGTGGCTTGGAGTGACCTGCTTCTGGGTTTGTTGTTGTAAGTAGCTTTGGGGGAAAGGAAAGGAATGAATGAAAGTGACTAATTATGGATGCTGTACCTCTGGCCTGTGAGAAGTTTTATTCGCCTCTCTCTGTGATGACTGATGACTGTGCAGCCCTCGTCCGAAAGGGGGGGCAGTGCATGTGGGAGTCTAGCAGCACCAGCATCTGTTTCGATTTCTGTGGATGGGCAAGGCGCCGTGCTCCATATCATGGGGATAGAAAGATGTGTGTGTTGAAGCTGTAGGTGAACACACGTGCCTGTGCCCATCGCCGTTCGACGTGCAAGGTTGAAAAGTATCTTGGAGCTAGGAGCACTATCAAGCACAGGCAAGTTTTGTTTGGTCTTGACGCTTTCCCTGTCCCAAGTGGGCACGGGCCGTGGGGAGGTGGTGCTATTAGGGTCGTGCACCGTATGATGTGTGATCCTGCTGAATTTTCAGCGTCTCCTTCCCTTGTCCAGATCCACAGCTTGGGTTTTGGTGGTGGCGACATGTGACTGAATTCGCTGCAGGATCGATCGTTGTCCAACACAGGACAGGCCAACGGGTAGAGTAGCTGCTTTTACTACCTGTCGACCAAGGCGGGCAGGGAAGGGCATCGCGAAATCTTGTAAGCGGACAGCCATTGGCCCGGTGGTCCTTGTCGATCGCGGAGATAATTGCCGTGGAATGGATGGATTGGGAGGGGAGAGATGGCAGCGTTTCTTGGTCCCTTCTAGCAGGCGTGCGTGTAATAAAATGGGCGGCGTCGCGAGGAGCTGCTACTCCACGTCGCCATGTGAGGATGTGGCTGCTGTGCCTCCCGGTCGCTGTCGATGCCGTGGCAAAGGGAGTGAGGATGGATGTTCCCTGCAAGTTACTACAGATTCTGCCCAACGTCGACGTGCGCCCGCTAATCATCGTCGGTTTGGCTTTCGCACGAGTTGTGTGGACTGGGGGAGAAAACAAGTCCTTTTCATCTCGTGAATGAACACAGAAACAGAGGCCAGTAGCCTGGATGGCTGTGGTCAAAGCTTTCAGTTAACCTTCCACTCGCGCAGTTTTCCGTCGTCAGGCGTTTGTTTCGGATTAGGCTGTGATGACCTCTTCTGGTTCGGTGTATCCTCCTCTGTTTCCGTGTGAAGTTCGTCATGCTGGCTTCCTTGACCCCTTGCCGCTCCGGCGCTGGGGCCGCCGTCCGTTTAGTTGGAGCAGCCAGCACCCTGTTTTCAGCCGGTGACTCGGGCTTCATGTTGCGTCAAGGCCAACGTTATCAGCAATAGGACAAGTTTGTCCAGCTCTAGCCTCTAGCTCATGAAAACCACGTGTATCCATGACCATAGTCACCGTTTCGTCATGTTGGGACGGAATCCCAAACACTGAAGTGTGGTCAAAACTATGAGCTTGCCGAGTAGACATTACAAAAAAATTGAAAAAAATCATAGTTTCAATGGACAAGATAGTTTCTTTTCTCAATCATGTCTCTTTTATATCTTCTATCTTCGTTGTCGTGTAGACAGTTTCTTATGTAAGAAACTAATACCTTCTAGCTCTTCTTTAATTCTAACGCTGTATCACAATTTTGTTTAGCTGGCACTCTAATTGATGGCAACAGAAATCATTCTAGTTTCTGGTTGGCACTGTCCTTATAGAGTGAGTGTATGAATGATCCGGGCTACTAAATCATTATCCAATGGTTGCATTGTTTTTCTACTTATACACATGCAATAAATCTGCAGAAGATTGTGGGTTTTAGCGGAGGCAAACTTGTGGGTTTTAGCGGGGTACTGGCACCTATGCGCTCTGCTGCCGCTTGTTAGAGCAAACACGTCGCAAATAGAAAACAATGTAATAGGTCCACAAATATTCCGGCTCACTATCGTCTAGGTTCGATGGATTACCAAGGAGTGTTGTAACCATGACACTCTGCTTCTACTTAATGAAACACATGTCGCTTAGGCACGTTCGTGAAAAAAAAAACTGCAGAAGATACCTGGCAAGTCATGACAAGATAATATTTCCTTTATCCCAAAAAGACATGTCACTTTAAAATTCAAAAGTATGTCTCCCAAAGCAGACCATTTATGGACAACTAATGTTGGAAAGTTTTGGTGACTAGGTCACTCAAGATGGCCATAGTTGCTCTATCATGGAGACGTGGAGTAGATTATGCTCGGAGTTGTGTACCATCGCAAGTTGCACAACATTTTTATTGTTTCTTTTCCATTCCATGAATCAGGTAGGTACCGATTGTACTGAGTAGCCAGACGTATTAAAGTACTGTAGTACTACCGTATCACTCCTAACTCTTTCATTAATAACAGCCCACTTGATCCTTTAGTAATTAGTAACAGCCCACTTAATCGTGGATCTCTGGCTTGTATTGGCAAGTAAGTAATGAACGATCACTACTATACAGATAACTGTAACAATGGTCTCCTTTTCTTTTTTTAACGGTTTATGTAGTGAATATCTTAGCAGCCGGAAACGTGGAACATGGTCACATTCCTCGTTCAGGGAATGTCCACACCCCGATTCGAAAACATTTACGTTCTCGCGTTATAAAATGGCACCCCAAGTTCCCGTTCCATTTTGGGAATATGGTTGCTAAGGTCAATATGCCATTGCTGCCACCACAACAAACGAACACACGCAACGGCTCAACTTTCTGTTAGGCAGTGTTTGGTTCGAGGAACCGTCTCAGGTGGGATATCTCACTTTGAGATGGTGTATGTTTCTGAGACCAGCAGAGTCAAGGACGTCTCGCTAGAAAATATGCTAACTCTATGACTCTTGTCACTCTTTTTTTAAGAACAGAGTCATCCCACCTAGGACGAGTGTTCGTTTGCTCGAGCCTGGCGAATGCGGGCAGGCTCCACCACCGACCATGTCACGCGGGTGAGCTCCGTCACCATCCATGCCACATGAGCGAGCTCCGCCTCTAGCCCCACATGTCAGGTGGTCGATCCCACATTTGTTGTCTACAAACCATATTGAAAACAGGGGCACTCTTGTCCCCTTCTACAAAACACTACTTGTAGATGAGATTGTCCTGTCTCTGAAGTCAGAGCTAGGACCATTCCACTCTACCTTGTCTTCCGACCAAACGCTAGTTTACTAACTCGGTTGCCTCTCAAGCGTGCACAGAGGCATGGCGGGCATTTTCCTCCTCTAGAGCCCGTTGTCCGAGCAAATAACCATGTAAAGTCATGTTAGATTTTGCTTTCATAGGGATTTAACAAACCATTTCTCTCTAAACAAACGGGAACTATTCTAGGACATACTCATTTCAAATTAAGTATTTGGTTTGAGGAATCAAACCATTTTAAATGAAGTAATGCAAAATGGGTCCATTTCTTAAATTTAGTGGAATGACCTCATTCATTACACTAGTACTAATTATAAGCTTGTGAGGAATAAGATGATGATGGATCAACTCATTTTCTAAACCAAACAAAAAAATAGATAGCGAAATGATGATGGGCCACTTCAGCCCACAAAAAACACCCCCTTTATAAATCACTTCTCTACTAAAAAATTGTGACAAATCTCCTCTTGGATGAGGCACTTAAAACATCACCCTTCCGGTTTCAGTTGGTGGAGAGGAGAGAGCCGCGCGATGGGAATGGGATTGGGGCACCATAATGCCCGCCATTTCGTCATAGCATCTCCAATAGCTACTTATTTTTTCCTTCTAAAACATAGTGAGTTCACTACTACAAATGATTTCCCTCTTTGACTCTCCATCTCCCACCGAGGCGGGCACCCTTTTCCTCTCTCCAAATCCCACATTTACCCAGCGGGCATTTTTATTTACCACGGTGGGCTTTTTTGTCCGCCACGGTAAATTGATCCCCACGCGTGGATGACGTCTTAAGATGTCGCCACCACCTCCTCCGTTTTCATGGCGGACATTTTAAGACGCCCGCGACGGTAAATCCGTATCCGGACGCGGTGGATCTCTATTTTTCACGGCGGACATCTTAAGACGCCCGCCACGGCCATCGACCTAAAATGCGGGGCCCTAAAATAACCGCCACCTAAAATGTGGAGGCCCAATAGCCATCTCCAATATAAACCGAGGCCTCGCACCATCGTCGCCGCCCCCCCTCTCTCTCTCTCGGCTCCCGCCCCCCCCCCTCTCTCTCTCTCTCTCGCCTCCCCCCCCCCACTCCCCCTCTGCCCCCTCTACTCTCCCTCGTCAGCGTGGTGCGTGTGCAGCTCTCCTCCATAGCGCCGCCCCCTACTGTGGCCTTGGCAGGGACGACAGTGGCGGCTGCGCCTCCTCCTCCCCCACGGATCCTCCATGAGCAGCGACAGCGGCGGGGCTAGGGTTTCAAATCCAGTGAGTTCATCTCCTCTTCCTCTCCATCTCCCTCTTCTCTCTCCATCTCCCTCACTCCTCCTCTTCCTCTCTCTCCGAGATCCGGCGACCTCTTCTCCACGGATCCGTGGCGGCAACCTCCTCCCCACGGATCTGGCGGTGCACCCTCCTCCTCCGTGGATCTGGCGATGGAGCGGCCAAGATGATCGCGGTGGATCTCCACCACAGCCACGACGCCGGGGATCCACCACAGCCATGACGCTGGGACCTCCACCACGGGCGGCGAGGACGCAGCGTCGGCGGCGGCCTCTCCTCCACCACTGCCTTGGCGGATCGGGATCCGAGAGGCGTCGGCGTGGTCCCCTACGAGCTGGCGAGGTGGTGGCGGCCGTGGAAGCCGGGATCCGTCGCCGGTGGGCTCGCCCGGTGGGCTCGAGAACGGGCTCGTCGGTGGCCTCTTTTTTTTTTGTTTTTAAATGATTAACCGCGGCGGGCATCCTAACGTGCTCGCCGTGGTAAAAATATATTTACCATGGCGGGCACATTACACCGCTTCCGCCTTGATGTAAATCGATCGCGCTCATGATGGGAAAGGCCGCGC